TGAGGCTTGAGAGCCGCTCAAGGAGCGCCTCGCTCAGTGGTATCCATTTGAACCTGACACCCATTTTAAAAGGCTGTCGTTTAACAACAACAACAAAAAAAAAAAGTATCGGCACTGATTCATTCCGTTCAAGTGAAGTGCAATTAAGCATAGGGCTTTTTTCAGGTCTTTGTTTGGACTCTGTAGCACGGCGTTATTAGTGAAATTCCTCCGGGCGACCTGGTGCACTTCTTGATTAAACACTGATTTGGGTGTTGGTGCTTTGCTGGTGCCAGCTGCAGCTGTAATGACTAATAATAACCTGAGCATTGTGCCCTTAGTGTTCTGAAATATATAAAATATGATATTGCTGAAAACCTGCCTGGTTTAAGGCTGGTTTTCTTATGGTAACAAGGTGTTTGAGCACAAGTTACTCTCTTGAAAGATCTTTCTGTGGATTTAGAAAGAAAATGTAGCGTGCTGAAATCTTAGTCTGCCACCAATGTTTCAACAAGTAGCTCAAATACAGTTTGAGATATTCGTAGAACTGTGTGTTAAGAGTTGCCAGTTAGCCACTCGCGCTTCCTGGGCTTCGATGCAATCGACCCTAGGGGCTTTTTCTGCAACGATCTAAGGGGAAGCAACGATATGATCATAGTTGTCTTAATCCTTCCCAAAGAAGCAAAGATAACTTGTTATAAAAGTCTAATCTATTTTTCCTAATGGAAAATCAAATGAGATGCTTGTTAAAGTCATTTGACAACTAGACTTCCCCTTTGATACTGTTATCCTTAATGATAATTTGATAAAACACTTCTGAAGAAAAAGTACTTCACCTCTGAACACATCAAAGACTGTCAAGCAACAATCTCCTGGTTCCAGGTGTACTTTTTTGTGGCCCTTACAAATTAGAGAGACTCTTGTGTACTCTAATAGGCTGTATTAGACTGCCTTTCATCAAGTAGATAATAGCACTTTATATTGAACGCTCTTTCTTGCAGCAAAGATAGCATTTCTATTCTATTAAAGCAAGTAACGAGCTTGTGTTAAATTTTCAGTAGTGAATGGGGAAGAAGTACATAGCAGCATCTCTTCCTGCATGATCAAGCAAGGTACTATGTATATAAGCTTTTAAAGATGAGAAAGTGATGGATTTAGATGCTTCAGAGGGGGAGGGATGAAAGGAGAGGTCACTTCAGAACTGTCATCTTGAGGAAAAGAGTCAATTGCATGGGACTGTGCATTATAGGTTGTCTTGTAGTTGCTATGATAAAACTATAGAGTCACATGCAGATTGGCTGGGATTAAAAACTTTATGCTTGTGCTAGCAGGCTTGGACGCTTCTTCAGGCTTTCGCTACCTCGGGGATCATACTTGAAAGTTGTGAAGGGCTAGAGGCTGCGTTTTTCTAAATAGACTTACTGTTCTTGATTGATTGATGCTAGTGACAGCTACAGAAAAATAAGATGCTAAGCATAACTCTCTGGTGTTAAGACCTCCTAAGTTAATTCTGCTGAGCAATTTCTATCTTGGAGATTGTGCTTGGTGTAGAACTGATCTTCACAGAAAGCACTGAAGTGTTTTACAGAGCTAAAATGGGAGAGCTGCTGGTGAAAATGCTCCCGCTTTCCTCAGGAGACAAAGAACTGGTTGTCTGTCTCCAGGTTGAGCTTTCTGGCTCAACTCACTCCTGATCATTCTTTGAACAGTTCTTCACTGCAGTCTTGTCCTTCAAACATTTAGCTCTGATGCAAGTCTGCCTGGTGGGTCTCATGTTTGCATGTCATAGCATTAAGTCCAGCTTCACAGCATCCTTATTACTTGAGGCGAGCAGTTTGTTTTGGGGCAAGCCAAACTTCATCGACTGTCACCTCCAAAGGCTGATGTTCAGACTTTATTCTTGGGCAGGTAAACAGTCATTAGCTTAACAAGTCTGAAGAAATGACTTCAGCAGAGCTAGATGGAGGGGTCGGGATATGGTACAAATACCTCCCTTTTATTTTCCCTCCTGCAGTCTTGTTTGGTTGGTTGGGTTTTTTTATACAATTTTTTGCAGAAGAAGATTTGCACAAGTGCTCTTTCCTCTGACAGAATAGAGAGCAAGGAAGAGTAGCATACGCTTCCTGCGGAGTGCATGCTTAAACGAGGAGAGAGAAAGGTGTTGCGTTCATTACAGGGGAAAATAGACATGGGTAAGAAAAGCAGCATTTATCTGAGGTGGTGGAAAGGCTTGTCCATAACCTCCTGGCAGCTAGCGCAGCGTTACGCATTTTGTTCTGTGTCTTGTCCTAAAGTCCGTGTGTTAGTTCTGATGGGACATCACGTCTTGGCTTCGTGACCTCACCAAGTAATTTGTGTTGGTCCTGAAAGTTGCTGTATCCTATTTTTCTGAGTGGGAACGGCATTGTGGTGTGTGATACTTTTTTTTTTTTTTTCCCCCTCCTTCCACCTTTAGAGAAAGGATCTGGTAGGATAGTTCAGCAATGCCAAAGGAAGATCTTCATACTAGCATCTCGTGGTTTTTTTGTGTGCTGAGCGTATCTGTCCTTAGAATTTAGACATGTAAGGAGAGATTTTTGAGGTAAGATTCTCATTCTAGGTAAAATGTAGCCTGGTGTTCAGGCTGCAGTAAAGGCTACTAACATTATTTTTATTCTTTTTTTTTTTTCTTTGAACATGAGTTTCAGCAAAAACTTTCATTTCATGAAACTGAGGCTCACTAGGAACAGCCTGTCAGCTTAACGCTTATTTGAAAATTTAGGCAGAAATGGCTGCTTCTTGAAAATGTTAAATTGGGTGGTGGTTTTAAATTACTGCAAGACAAAATTTAGATTTAATTTGATCTGACTTGGATAGGTGACAATATCAAATGAACTCTCCATTTTGTTGCCAGAGAGGGAAACTGCTTTGAGTTAAATGACTGGCTTTATTTTGCTTTGTGGTGCAACATACTGGTTTTGTACCTGACCTAAAGATGCAGGCTACAAGGTAACATTCCTCCAAATCTTCAACTAGCTCTGGAACTAATATTTTAGAAGTTTGGGGACCAAAATATTAGGCACTTAGTTATAAATCAAGCCTATGCTTGAGTAGCACTTGAAAATGTGCTTCCTTCTCTCTCTCCTGCTTTAGTTTTGCTGCCTTCAAGTAGCTGTATTGTGCTAAGCCTACCTAGCCTTGTCAGATGCCTATATATGTCGATACAGAAAAGAAAATTACAGTAGAAAATACTTAGCCAGGAAGTGGAAAACCAGCTAGAGCTCCATTTGCAATTTTTAATCCAGGCCATTTTAAACAAAACCAGAGAGCCTATGATACTATGTGAGAGAGATGTGTGAAAGACACACAGTGTTACTGGAAAAGTATGTCTCTTGCATAATGAGGAATATAGAGTTTATGCATTTATCTGTAATGCTTCAGATAGGAGTGAACTGCTTATTGGAAGTTAAGCAGGGCATGTAATACAAAATCTTAAAGAACACTTTGCTCATGTTCCGCCATATCCCATCACATTGTCCCTTGTTCTTTTTTCCAGTTTATCCCATAGGGAGTGTCACCGTAGAAAATCAGTTATACTTCCATATTTCGTAACTGTTCAAGGTAGAAAGAAGCTTGATCCTCTTGTTTAGCAGCGTAAGATATATAGCATTATACTGCCAGTAAAATCACAATTGTAATGCTGTTTGTTTATTTGTTTGAATTCTTCCCCCCTCAGGTTGGCCTTCGGCAGCTAGATATGTCATTACTGTGTCAGTTGTACTCCCTGTATGAATCGATTCAAGAATATAAAGGTGCCTGCCAAGCTGACTCTAATGCAGACTGCTCGTACGCTTTGGAAAATGGGTTTTTTGATGAAGAGGAGGAATACTTCTAGAAGCAGGAAGATTCACCTCCAGGCTGACTGAGGTTCTTTTGTCCTTCTCTCCCTGTAACACACCTCAGCAAGAGCGACTGGAATCTGTACGGATCCTTCTTCCTGAGGGGGAACACCCAGCTACCCCAAGTTGTGTTAAATTCACTTATTTTAACAGGCTGTCAGTACAAGTTACTCATGCAAATACCACTTGAGGAAAGTGCTGTACTCTAACTTTTGAAGAGTCCTCAGACATGCTTGACAAGAGTTTTCAATTTAATTTGCAAGGTGGGTGTTTTCAACTTACAAACGTTGGTAGCTTATAACTGGAATTTTAATGATAGAAGACAGCAGTGACTTCCTGAGTTGTAATAACTTTGTAAGGGGGGAGGGAAGCCTCTGCTGCGGTGTAAATAGCTGTAGGTGATTTTTTTTTTTTTTGGTCAACAGTATGGAAAAATGCGTTTTGAACAGGCATCTGGATGCACGCACATCCTCAGCTCTACTAAGCTAGTTCTGCTCTTATCAGCTGCATCCAGTTTTATACTGGGTGGATTGTTTACACAGTTTAATTTTTTTTTTCCTCCTTAAGCTAATTTTGATTTTTTCCTTGTTCCTAGCTTACAAGCTGTACACGTGATAGTGAGTGTTATCAGCAGTTTTTTTCTGTTGATCTAATTCACTTTCCTGATACTGCCACTTGGCATTAACTTTTATACTATTGTCTGGATTTCTCGCAACATAGCTCTTTGACCTGCTAAACTCTGTTCTGAAATGGTTTGCTTAGCTTTTACTGTACTACGTAGTAAAAGCACAGATTCAAACATAGTCTGTCTGCCACTATGTGGCTTGGAATAACATGAACTCTTGTGCAAGTGTTCTCAATCATATGAAGAATAAGGAAACCTCTCATATGACACAATGGGACAAATTGCAATATTTTATACTGGGTGAACTTTGTTTCTCTAAGGTAGACTACAGCTCTTTTTAAAAATGCAAAATAAGTATTTTGAGCACATACTTTGCATATGTTAAAACTTTTTATACTAACTTGTTCTTTGAAGTATAACTTATTTTGGTTTCAGAACTTACTAAAGCACTCGGTTAAGTTTTTATTATTTCATAGTGTGTACATGTAATGCTTAATCAGCTTGGAAAAGAGAGTTGCCAACTATCTGAGTCTTTACCCTTCTCTATTTTAAGTAAAATCAGCTCCCAATGCAATTTTCATTTCTTAACTTTAATTCTGAAGATTGCTGTAAAACACAGTGCCTGAATCTTGACACAAGCTAATAATTAAGGGCTTAAATCTCAAAGGGTTTTTTGCATGGTTCATGTCTGGCATGCATACAGTTTACAGAAAGAATTGGAGATCACATTCTGGGGTAGCTCCGCTCTTAGTTTTTAGCAAAGGCTAGGATGTTGCAGTGATAAAAGCCAAGAGACTTCCAGGGTGGAGTTTTTGCGCATTCCCTCTAAAACCGGCTTATTTTAGTGGAATTGAAAGGCCACAAGAGCAAAGACTGTACTGTAATTGTGTATGTGTGCAAGTTCTTAATCTAGTTTGTGGCAATGGCTGGATTTTTTTTTTTTAATGTTAATTCTGGTCTAATTACTTCACTCACCCAAAACTAAAATGAATGATAAGGCAAACACAGATAATCCAAATGGTTACATCTGTATTTAAAAAGTTGTGTGTGTACGTGTGTATATATGTATGAGTGTATATACACACAGATGTACGTACAACTTCCTGCTTTGACTTAAGAATGTATCAGCTTTGAATATAATTTGCTGTGCTTTTGGTATTTAGATGTGGCTTTTTCTAGTCTGTTGAAGTACTGCTATTTTCTTGCTCTTTCCCCCAAAATAAAAAGCATGATGTTTAGCATAACTTTTTAATGTTGTGTGTATTTTAATTTACCGTTTCAGTGAATCCAAACCCTCCCCCCTTCCCAATCTCCCCCTAAAAAACCTAGGACTAGTCATCACCCGGGACGGAAGCAAGCAATTTTTAAATTACAGTGGAAAAGGTTCTACCTGCCAGTATTTGGAATGGGAATTTCCTACTTCTATGTCTTAATTGGATTTTACTTAGTTTTGAATTCAACAGAGAAAATCCTGTCTCTACTAAAGATTTTGTTGTACAAATCCTTACATGGTGACAGTCATTAATAGTCCCACTGGTGAGAATGGACTTCAGCAAAATTCACAGTACTTTCTCTTATATAAATGAAACTTTAAAAGCAAAATGATTTACGTTTCTAATTTTAATGCAGCATGCTTCTGAGTTGGGTAATGTGGAATGTTTGGCTGGTATTCGCTGTACCAAGAGAAGCATAAAAGTCTCAAGGCATCACCTCACAACATCATCTGCACTGGAAAAAAGGATGGATTATTAGGACTTGCTAAGTTTTCAGCACCTTGTCCCTTTTAATAACACCTTGCATGGGAGAGAAGTTAAAATCTGTATTCCTAAGCAAATTCAAATGCTCTGAAGGCTGGCTAGCTAGACAAAGGTTTTAAAAAACAGTACGTTTGTTAAGTCAATAAGCAGTTGTTCCGGAGGTAGATTTCTGTGCCTGGTGTTTTCAGTTGTGAGCCGTATCACCTCACCACGTTGTAACAGCATGAAGTAGGGAAATTGCTTTGAAAGAGAGGTGCTTGGTGGGAAAGTATAGCTTAAATACCAAGTAATTGTTACATGCAGCTTCAAGTCACAGTTTGGTTGTGTGCGTGACAGAACAAGCTGTGTTACTACAAAAGCTTGTTAACCTTGGTCCAAACCACATACCAACAATCCCTTTCCCATTTTTATTCTGTAACCCCAATTTGAATTACACATAACCTTTTAAGGATACCTTTTAAGGGTATAACGAAAGAAACTCTTGAAAACTGCCCTACCCGGTGAATACTACACAACTTTCAGTCCCACACGGCGCAGCTGGCTTAGCCAGTACGGAGCGGGCACAGGAAAAGACAGGTTTACGAGGAAACAAGGACAGACAGGCTCCTGCTGCTCCGAGGTGGAAAACTGTGAGTACAGCGGTTCAGAAGGCAGTCTGCCATGAGTGACTCTTCACTGGCCTTCCTCCAAAGGGCCTACAAATGTGGTAAAGTGGTTAGAAATAAAGAATTATTAGGTCTGTGCTAGCTATATTTGAAGTTTGGTGTTGGGTTTGGTTTTTTTTTAACAACACAGCACCCTCATTTTATTGCTATGACAACTGCAGAGTCATAGTCATAATTACATTATAGTCTAGTCCCTTGGAAATGTTCTTAGTCTACAAAAAGTGAAGAGTCTGGAAGAAGCACTCCACCCTGGAGAGCACGGGTGTCAGAAAAGATGAGTGGCCGATGCCCTGGCAGCTATAACAGAGGAGTGTTTAGGTTCAGCTTCGGCTCCTGGTGAATTCACTGTCAGCCCCATTGATTTTAGTGGGGATGGGCTGCAAAGCAGGGATCTCTTTCCTGAAACCAGAACTGCTGCTTGGTCTCTTTTATTTTCAAGACTGGAAGAACTGTATGGTATCTGTACAAAGATACAAGAGGTATTCAAATACATACTACAAATGTTTTCAAAAGTACTTACTCTGTAATGCAGTGAAACACAGTAGGCGATCATTTGAATAACTCATAAAAAAGACAAGTGTTGCTTCAAATAAAGAGTTTTCCAATAAAGGTGGGATAAAATTACACTCTGTTTAGGGGTAGCTTGGACTTGGAGGCTCACTAAAGTTGAGTTTTTAATACAAAATTTAGTGCAGTCATGGAAATCGGAAGACTAGGAGAAAGATTATGCAAAAATTATTGTAATATTTGTCATTAATTTAGTTCCTAATCATACGTAATCAAATCATTTTGCATGACCTTCTAAAATAAGTTGCTTTTTTAAAAATTTACATTTTCTTGTAAATAATGCAAAGTTTTAAATGCACTGAAGAGTAGTAGAGCCCTCAGAATCTTTACAAAAATTGATCCACTTAGTGCCTATTTACAAACCTAAGGTTTTTGCCTCCTATTTAGTCAAGTTCCTAAGGAAACAAAGCCTAGGCAATGACTCTGTCCATGATTTTCTGTCAGTCTCTTTGCTATAAACAACATCTGATAGAAGTTGGAAAATTGTTCTGTTTTTACAAACCTTGTGAAAATGGGCAACTGGAGGAGGAGAGAGACTGCTGCTTCCACAGACAGCATCACAGGTAAAATTCACCTTTGGATTTCTGTTTGGCCACCCAAGAGCCAGAAAGCAAAAGCCGGGTGGTCACCTGGCAGCTCCGCAGCAGCCGGGGCAGGTGCCGCGTCTTCCACGGTGCTGGGTGCCAGCGGGTGGTGTGGGAAGGAGGTGAGAGCCTTCAGCACGTCTTACAGCGAGCGAGGATGAAAAGTGGGGATATGGCAAGGGGCTCAGGGAGGACCCCAGGTGTTGCCCTCGGGACCGAATGGGATGCTGGAAGGGGTGAGTGTTGTGGCAAGGGAGGTCACAGGTTTTGGAGGCTGGAGCTTCGCGCAGTTTGGAAGGAGATGCTGAGGTCCTGGGACACAAGTCATTTAAGATCCTGTGTTTCATTAGTTCTGCTGATAGCTTGGGGGTCTTTTTTCAACCTGTTTTAGAGTCTGGGTGTACACTACTTGTCATATATTTTTAACGTTACAGTCATTTGTTGCTGGTACACAGTTTTGCTTAACTGGAAAGAACACATTTTATTAGCCTTGCTGCCTCGCTAAAGCCATTCCTTTTGCTTGAGGAATTTGGTTGCTCTGAGGGCAATGGGGAACTAATTCGTACACTGTGGTGTTTAGCTGACGGCTGGGGGGGGCATGTGAAGCGGGATGAATCGGGTATGTGCCAAAGAGAACCCTACACACAGGTCTTTTCTTCTCCAACATACAGCTATGTGTCCTTCAGCCTCTTCCAAAGAATTTACTCCTGTTTTTGTGATGCCTGCCTGTAGAGGATACAGCTTACCACAGCAGTTTGAGGTTCATACTCCTTTTCATATACTATATGCATTTTCTCAGAAAACAACTCCTCAGACATAGGTTTT